ATGTTAAATGCTGTTCTAAAGAAAATGTCTGAAAGCACAAACAGTCTTGAAGGGCTGGTCTGATCTTGTATTTGTCAGTACATCTCATGACAACTGACACGAATCTATGTCTGCACTGAAGAGGCTTTCCATGATGCGCCTCCCTCAGCTTATGACAAACACCAAGTGAAAGGGGTGCAGTGATACTGCAGGGGGGCATTGCTCTTTTTACAGCAGTAAAGGGGAGAGGACACTGCCTGGCTGATCTCCTGTGCCACAACACATGGCAAAGGTACACCCAGTCGTGTTTGTGACTGCTGCAAAATATGAAGGCAGGACATCTCTGGGAAAATCTGAGCCAGCAGTATAAAGCCAAAACTTACTGTCTCCTTGGGAAAGGGGGAGGGAAGCAGTCTCTATGTTTAAAAAAAGGCATTGCAGGTGGGCATATATCTCAAACTGGATAAATTCGAAGTTCTGGACTGATGGGAAGACTTGGTCTTACAGCAGTGTTGAGAGCATGGTCTGACTCTACCTGTGGAGCTTTAGTTCCATGTTCTCTTAAGTCTGAGGATTTGTTTTCCAAGGGTCTCGACACAATAAAAACATAATAGAATACCAAATTAACAAAGCTGTACATGTTCTGCAATTTAATGGAACTAAAAAAACCCACATTGAAACAGATCCAGGCCATTTCCATTCAAATCCCTCTTCTGGTAGAGGCTTGGGTAAAGGGAGGGACTCTCCAGTGTGACTGAAAATAAAACCCCTGTGACACACTGGAAAGACCAAAACCAGGTGAATTCTGGATTCAGAGGCTTCCAGAGCACCATGTTCTCAGGCCAGACTTGCAGACAGGTCAGTGCTGAGCAGATGCAGCTGCCCAGCAGAACCTGTCCTGAAAGGCAGCACTCAGGACGCCGTTGTGCTGGTACACCCCGGATTTGAAACTCTCCTCTGTTTCAGAACTGTGCCAGTACACACTTATCTTGGTATAGGATCTGCCATCTCCCAGGGGAGTACATTGACGTTGTACAAAAGCTTTTCTTTTTGGAGGACAAAAAAGCAACTCCACATCGAGAACTAAACTTGTTTCCTCTTCCCTGTTCACAATTCATAACTCTTCTTGTTCATTTAGCTTCCTAGCAGGGATGAGCACCCAAATGTCAGCTCCAAAATATGGATTTCTGGTTTGCAATCATCTGATCTAATCTGATGAAGAAAGACATAACAGATTTTTGGGCCCAGTCAAAGCAACCTGCAGTTCAATACTAAATTCTCCTGGTGAACTGCCAAGAGAGTAAAACACAGTTCAAAAGAGTTTGAAACTGCAGGAACTTTGTGAAAAACTGCAGGGTTTGAGACAAAGATCTGAGAAAGGTAAATGGAAAGAAAGAAAATGCATCAAATTATTCATTACAGTCTTAACACTCACCCCAGATTAACAAGAAGCCCATTGGCTGATCTCAAGTGCAACAACAGGCTGTAATTTAAAACAGCTTTTATTCATTAATGAATAGAAAAGTTATATCAGTGAGAACTCTGAGAAAACTTGTGCCAAGTACCAGCACTAAACAGTCTTTCCTTGTAAAGATGTGGCTTGCTGCCTGGCTGTGTGTTGGGACACCAACTCCTGTAAGCAAATGAGACTGGTTTATGCTACCAGTTCAATCCCTTGGTTTGAAATGGAATTAACCTCATGAAAATGCAGAGTATTCCTTTCAGCAGATGGTACTGCTTGTGTATACAAATACCTCTTGGAAATGTTAATGTAAACCACATGCTCTGAAATGACAGGATTCCTTCCCTGAGCCCTTTATCCTCCTGAAAATGAAAAATAACACTCTGTGAGCTCAGACTGGTGGCTGCTGCAGCAGGACCAGTGCCTGCTTATTGCTTATGCTGGCTGAACTGGGCACAAGAACAGTGAGGAGAAAAACGGGTGGAGGGCATAGAAAGAATGTTGGGCCGTACTAAAATGTGGTGCTTTCCCCTCTAGACATATGTATTAGCTCTAGAGGAGGGATGCAAATAGCCACTGTCAGCCTGTTCTAGCTCTCCTCTACAGTGCAGCTCCTTCATGTTTTACTGGATAAATTAATCCCCAAAGGGCTTTATGTTGCTGTTGCTAGACTGTTTTTGGTTGCCACCTAGGGTGACTCTTCAGAGCATATTCTGAGGCTTTACATTCCTCTGGGTTACAAGCATTTGCATCTCTTGCAAGTGCCTCAAGTTGCCTGATGCTGCTCACTGCCCATCCTGCTTCCCCACGTCAACACTCACAAGCATCTGTCCTCAAAGGCTTAGAGAGCAAAAGTCCTTAAAAAGAGACAAAGATTCCAGAAGCTGCAGCTTAAGGCGAGGTTCTGCAGACCAGAACTATCACTGCAATGCAGAATTACCTCAAAAAGCCAGTCAGTCTTTTCCTCTGTACATTCACATTCTGCCCACAGCACAGACAAACTGGCACCCTGTAAACAGTGGAATTTACAGGTGAAATAGTAAACCTTGGGGATAACTCTGTCCTCTACCAAGCTCCTTCAGAGGTACAGGGCAGATGTGGTCAGTGGGAGGTGAAACAGCTCCAGGCACAGGAACCATCCACTTGGAAGCTCTTCCAAAGATTAGGCTGCCACTCAAACCCCTTCCTGTTCCCTGCAGAGCTGTGCAAGGCTGAACCCTTCAGCAAAACAGAGCTGTGTGCAGTGCTTAACCTGTGGCTTTGTCCTCACTGCAGATTATGTGTTACATACCAGTCCTTTATGGAAAAGGCTGATTCTCATATGAGTGTATCTGAATATCTGGAAAAAACTCTCCTTCCCCTACTGCCTTCTGCCCCATCTTTCCTTCTTGAAGTTGCCAAAGTCAGTAATAAATTGGAATAGACAGAGCTGACACTTTTGAAGACAATATGCTGTTGGCTAGGCTGGGTCACCAAAAAGCGCACAGAGGTGTAACTTAGAACGAGTCCTGAACAATGTCAAAACAGCAAAGCTGTAACAAAAGCTGCAGGTGATGAAAGCAAGCCTTGAGGGTGGCCATCTGCTGTAATCATGGAATGGGTCAGGTTGGAAAAGGCCTTTCTGGGGAAGACTCTGGAGCTCAAGTCTGATGAGGAGCAGCTGAGGGAGCTGGGGGGGCTCAGCCTGGAGAAAAGGAGGTTCAGGGGGGACCTTCTGGCTCTGCAAACCCTGACAGGAGGGGGGAGCCGGGGGGGGATGGGCTCTGCTCCCAGGGAACAGGGACAGGAGGAGAGGGAACGGCCTCCAGCTGGGCCAGGGGAAATTTGGATTGGATACTGGGGAAAATCTCTTCACTGGAAGGGTGGTGGCATTGGAACTGACTGCCCAGGGTGGGGGTGGAGTCCCCATCCCTTCAGAGATTTAAATGCAGTGAGGATGTGGCACTTGGGGACATGGGTTTGTGGTGGCCTGGGCAGTGTTGGGGGAACAGTTGGGCTCGATGATCTTGGAGGGCTTTGTACAAAGAAATTCCTTTTGTTAATATTAATATTTGGTGGCTGGAGCACATTAGGGCACTTCAGTTGTGTTTTGAAGAAAGAAACTGGTACAGAAAGAAGGTAATGATTTTTTTAATAGAGGATCTCTCTGGGGGATTGTGTTCATATCACAAACATTCACTTTATTACATTTTATGGAGTGGACTTTAAATGCCAGTATATACAAGACAACATTTCATTATTGCAGTTTGTGTTTATTCACTTGCCATTGTCAGTCTGTTCCCCTTTGTTTTCTTGTGCTGCTTTTTGTAAAAGCTGTGATTTATGAATACGAGGTTTAGATCCCTCACAATATAGTGCAGTGAAGTGGTTCAATAAAAAGTTATTAAAGTAAAAAATCTATAGTTCTGTGTGCTCTGCCCACCTTGTGGAGGAACCCCCAGTAAGAGATTCTTACGCTAAGCAAAGACTGCGTGCTGAGACTGTAATATCAGCTGTCTGCTGAGAGGCCTCACTGTGCTGAACGGTGGCCATGGCAGGTAGTTCCAGTCCTGCCCACATAACTGCAGGATCACCCCCTCCCAGTTCTGAGAGTAGCATAGACCAAAAAAGGTTGCCATAAAATGGTAATTTTATAACCAGGAAATAAAGACTCCCAGTAGCCTTAGGCTGCACAGTACCAAATGGCACATAACTGTGTGCGTGCCACATTTAATTTATCTTTAAAAGAAAGCTCTGGGTCCTGCTGATTGCGGGATAAACAAAGCTGACGTTGGGCAGTTTCCAGAGCCCATTTAGAATCTGGATTTCTGCAAAAAAGGAACACTTTTCCAGTCTAAAATAGAGAGTGAAAGGGTGATTTGGACTACCCACCCTCAGCCTACGCCTGTTTTTCGCCCAGCAGCATTGACTTGCCACAGCTGCACAGCCACATAAAAGAGGGGGTGACAAATGGGCCACTCGAGCCTACAGCTGGCAAGGAAGGAGAGCTGCTGATAGCAGTGAAAGCTGAAGGAAGCACTCTCCAGGATGAAAAACAACATGTGAGGAACACATGGAAGGCAGTAGAATCTGTTCAACTGCAGCCCAGCAGGAGGAGTACAAGAGATGGGTTACCAAACGGTTTTGCTGCCTCTTATTTTGCGTTCCCAAATCTCTGAAAAAAAAAAAAAAAAAGGATCACCTCGGTGAGTGGCAGGTGTTAGAAGCACTGAGGCATACCACAGCCAGCAGCAGGGCAATCCCCAGCCTGGCACTGCGTGTCCCCAGGAAGCAGCGGGCCCAGGAACATCCCTGAGCACACAGCTCACAGCACACAGAGTGCTGATGCGCTCCGGCTCTCACCGCAACACAGCGGCTATTGAGGAAGCCATCACAGCCCCTCTGTTATCTCTGGCAAACAAAGAACAGCAGCTGTAGTCCCACACGTCCTCTTGGTGATTCCAGCCTGCTACCAGGCTACCAAAATAATTCTGCCACTGGTAGCAGTTCTGTCAGTGCAGTCCTTGCGCGCCCATCTCCGGCCAGGTGAGGTGAATGAAACACAGGCACGAGCACAGGGGCCCAGCACAGCCACCCAGCTGAGCAGCTGCTGTCCAGAGTCAGTGTTGATCTTGCACACCTCACACACTCTTCTGCTGGGTACCTCAGGACACAAGCATTTTGTCCACGTTGAATTCACTGATGTTATCACTGGATACCCACCAGCTCGACTCCTTTCCTGCTGAAGTAGGAGAATGAAGCAACTGATTTCTACTAAAAATAGAGATAATAAGCCCAATAAAACACATTGACCAGCATAAAAAACAAAGGGAAAAGCAATTTGGAGTAGTGGTCCACATTGCCAGGGTTCTGAATTGTGAAATAACCAATAATCCTGTGCATTTTGTTTCTCAGGACACATTTGATTTTCTCATGACTTTTCATAGTCAAGTCACTGCAGTTAACATTATCACTGGAAATCTCAACGCTTGTGAAGCTGATTTGCTGTTTACAGCTGGTGATGGAATTGTTGAGGATGTTAGTGATGTTGACTTCTTCCATTTCTTTAGTGAGCTCATTTGCTGGCCCCTAGGAAATGAGAGTGCACAGTTAGTTTCAAGGTCTGTCTTTTCCTACAGAGGAAGGAAACCATAAGGATAAAGATAAGAGTGTTCATATGTGGTCATCCACTCAAACACACCTTTCAGCTGCTCCCCATTTTCAGGAGGGCCTGAGGTCCCAGAGATGGATGTGTTTCCATCACTGTATTTCTAGAGGTATTTTTAGACCTTGAGCAAGCACTACCCTGTCACTGAGCAACCTAACATGCATCTCCTCCTGGACATCCATCTCTCCATGTCCATGCAGTAACTTAGTGGCTGGGGAACTCAGCATTGAAGTGGGAAACCTCTTTTCCCCCTGACAGGATTTGGGTTCTTGAAGACTGCTGGACTACAGTCATAGCTGACTATTTAATTTCTCACACTAAAGCAGAGCATTTGAACAATTCACTCACTCAATCCCCACAGAACGTGGTGGGACTGACGTTTGGTAGTGTCTTCTGGGAAGGGAGGAAGAAGGGTTCATCTTTCCTTAGTAAAAAAAGAGTAAAGTGCCTCCCTAATCAGAGTTATTCCATAAGGAGAGCAAAGAGGTGTGTTAAACTGGGTCTTCTTTTCTGCATTTTGAAAGGAGCAGAGGTGCCTCATGCTCACATGAGCTCAGGGCCACAGACCCAAATCCAGTGTCAGGCCAAAGCACCTTCCTGAATGTGGTCTGATGAACCCACAGTGACTGTCAGCTGAGGCTGCTGCTCACGAGTCTGACAGAGACACAGTGCTCAGGAGCTATTCACGTGCTTGCTGCACACAGAAATAAAGACTTAGTGCCATTTAGGAGAAGCCACTGTTAATGTATCTGTAACAGGGAGACCATTTGTCTTATTCAGTTAATGGAGAACCAATTGCTGTCAATCCAAGATCTCTGGGCCTATCAGACCTTACCTCTTGAGGTACTTTAGCTGCACACTTTTGTGATGAGCTGTAGTGAGCCACTGCATACTCCACAAGGGCACCAAAGATGAAGCTGAAGCAGATGCCAAGATAAACATCAATGGCCTTAATGAAACAGTTGGTTTTTGAAAGTGAACTCCGTGAGCCGATCATCAGAGTCGTCATGGAAAGCACTGTTGTGACTCCTTGGAAAGCAGAAAAAGAGATACTTTCTCTTGTGGACTCTTTGGAAAGGTCCTGGCCTACCCCTCTGCTCATGTTGTTGCTCACATCACTTCTTACCAAATCCAAGTCATCCATCACAGCCGCTGACATGCTCTAGGAGCACTATCTACAAGCTTCACACGGGCTCTCCCTGCTGTTGACAACTTGGCTCCAATAAGCACTTGGCTCTCTTCTTTTTCTGGCCTTCAGTAAAAAAATTCCCCCATCCTGCTCCCTCCAAAGCACACCACAAAGAATGTGTGCTCTGCTCTCTACTCTCTGCTGGGAATCTCCTGGGAACCTTGGCAGGTGGGCACGTGTACCTGCTGCAGCACATCCTCCATGCTAACCCAACTCTGCCCCAGGAAACAGCAGAAGGTAAGTAGACTATTTATCCCTGAGCTCAAGAAAAGGACCATCTACCCAACCTTCAGAGGCTGCCCTGCCTGCTTTAGTCTTCTCCATTCCTCAGGCAAAAACTCACCAATGCAGGTTCTGGCAGGCACTGAGTCCAGTGTGATCCAAAAAGAAACCCAGGACAACATGACCAGCAGAGTGGAGGGCACGTAGGTCTCCAAAATGAAGTAAAGCACATTTCTTCTCAGCTCAAACTGTAGTATCAGGCGTGGGTAACTGCCTGATCATGAAAGGAAGAAACTCAGTCAACATGAGATTCTCGAGGACACCTGAAGTGAAAGTGGAACAGCCCAGCACCAGCCCTGGGGGATGGAGCAGAGCCACACCACAATCATGCTTACACCTCAGGGAGCTTACTGAGCCCCTTTGCAACCCCTGTGTTGTTGGGTGTCCCTGTCCTGCCAGTGCTGTGTGTCCTCTCGTGGGGGATGTGTTGGCTCAGTACTGTATCATCACAAGGGATTAGATGTCCTGTTTTCATTAGTAATTCATGGTCTTTGGTAACTGTATCTTTTTCTGCTCAAAAAAATTCAGTCAATTTTTTAAAATCAATTATTTGGAAATACTGACATAAGGGTTCTGGGGCTGGATCAGTAGTGTTTTCAGGATGTGGCTCTGCTGTTTGAACAATAGCTCCCTTTGAAATGTAGAAACAAAGTCTGTGTTGTTCATGGGCCGTGTACACAACAAAAGAACAAAACATTGTTATTTTTAAAACCCAGTAATTCCAAGGAAGTTTTGCCCCCTTTCCACAGTGTCTGTGATTGGAGAGATGAGTATGTACACTGATAATGAAAAAGACATTGAATTTTGATGTACAAAGAGACGTTATTCCACCATGACAGAATTGTAATTTACAAACTAAAGAATATTTTAAAAATTAATTTTACTCCCTGTGACTGTAAACACTGCTCTCCCCAGTATTTATAGAAAAAAGGGAGAGAGTTTCTTCCAGCACGTGTGGAGATGTGATGGGAAATACCCAAGAGCTTTCCTTGCCTTTTTCTTCCCCAGCTTTACCTGTCTCCTGCTGTGAGGTGGAGACCAGGGTGTGGTAACGCTGCACCGTGTACTGAGAGAGCCGCAGCTTCTCCATGCCATGGACGGAGTCGTTTCCTCTCAGCCATGTGAAGGTGACATCATTTTCATCATAGCCCCCTAAGGAGAACACAGAGAGCTGTCTGACTGTGGTTCAGCCTGTAAAAGCCTGGCTGCTGCCCTGCTCTGTGTCCTGAGGGGGAACAGAACGTGATCCAGGCATTGCAGGTTGGACAAAAGCCCTCTGAGCTGTGTCACACCACGGGTGGACCTTGGTTGGGCTTTCATTTTGTCTGTTAGTCCAGATTTCCACAGGAACATGTGCCTTTGGGAATAACACACAACATGCAAGCCTGCTGAGAATCTATTTCAATCCTTTATTGGGATTTCAATCCTTACCCTTAAATGGGGTTATTTCTGATTTAAAGATAATCTATTGCTGTCCTGCACAGCTTGATTATGTGCAGCAGGATTAAACACTGCAGCAATTAACCCTCAAATGTAGTCTTTTCAGCCTGAGAGGAGAGTAGGAGATACACAGTGGTTAAAAATAGAGAATTCAGATCCCATTGAGCTCCTTGCCAAGGAGCAGAAGCCCATTTCACTGAAGCACCTATTCAAGTGCCTAAAAATAGGAGAAAATGCATTTTCAGTCAGTTCAGAAGCTTAGAGCTGACACTGCCACGTGGTTATGAACTGGGTTCCTTTGACTGGATATACATTGTCGAGAAAACTTGCTCATAAAGACAACTTCTTCTACAAATCATTCCTCCTACCCCCAAAGGCATTAACTTACTGATGGCATTCAGGTAACACCAAATTCCTGCCTCCAAAGCAGTGGGACTCCATCTATGCCACCCGAGTAAGTACTTCCAAGAATGTAAGTGATGGTACAACCTCAGGTCTGAGAGATAAAGCTTGTACTGAGTCACCAGCCTGGCATTCTCTTCAAAAATTTCACTTAATTTAGGAAACAAGCCCATCAGTCTCACTGATGTCATTATTTTATTGAGAGCTTTTCTTTGAGACCACGTGTAAGGACGCTGTGATTGGGGTAATAACCCGCTCGTCCTGGTAGAAGGAATCAGATGCAGTTGCAGCTCTGTTTTCATCTAATTGTGTTTTCTTATTAGACACAAATTACCAGAGCTTGAGCGTGATAAACTCCTAAATGAGGTGTCCAGAGTATGAATCCCTGAGTAGAATCCTAAGCATGTGACTTTTCCGAGTTTCTAAGTGGTTTTATAAATCGTGGCTACTCAGGAAAATGTTATAATAAATGATAGATTGTTGTTAATTCATCTGGCGTGTATTTAAATAGCATTATTTCTGGGCACTTATCCTAATGAAATCTCCAGTGGGCAATGTGTATGTAATTTCATTGGAATTATACAGCAACTGAACATGATGTAGGACCCAATCACTTTTAAACCAGGCCCAAACAAGCTCCGCTTTAGCAGAAGAGGCCAATCATTATTATTTCAAGAGCTGTGCTTCGTAATAAAGTTAACCATGGTGAACTAATACGATTTTAATGTGAAAATAATATGTGCTTCCCTAGGTGCTTCGTGCTGCAACCCCAGGAGTTAAAAAGCTGGTCTTTTCAGAGCTGGGATGTTTGGTTTCGTGCCATGAAGCAGGAGATGAAGCCTGCTCGTGGTGGAGCTTCACATCTCACAGCAGCACTGAGCTGGCTGAGCTCCGGGGTGACAACCCTGCAGTGGCCTAAATGTTCCTGGAGCCTTTCTCAGCCAGCATTGCCACAGATGAGCCTTTAATCTCGTTGAGATCAGAACTCACTGACAATTCCTTTTCTTGAGACTTCCCAGTCAGAGACTCCTCTGTCGATGAGGGTACCTAAAAATGTGAGAGGTTGTTCCTTGCTGTACCCCATCCCGCGCACTTACCCCACAAGTTAGTTTTGAAGAAGCTGTGTGCTCAAAAGGAACTAAATTTGGAAAACCAGCCAATGTTACTTCAACTTTTCTGTGCAAAATTGAAATATCTGCACTTCAATAAAAATATTCATTATTATCACTCTTTCTGTGTGTGCACAGTGACAGAAGTTCTCTGGACTGTGGATTTTAAAACAAACATTTGAAAATTGATGATGCAAAAGTTGTTTATTTTGGACACTAGTATCTGCAGGACTAAAAGTCTACTCCAGAAAGCCACTGTGCTGAGTCCAAATATTCAAGATATATAGTTACTTATGAATAAACAAATTAAAAGTTAGAGTTTTCTAGGATGTTACACTTACAACTTTCCAGCTGCAGTCGGCATGTTTGTGTGTCCATGGGATATTTTGACAGGTCCATGTTACAGGCAACAGTAGTAGTGATCCTGCAGGAGGAGAAAGAACTCTGAAAGTTGCAACAAAAGCATGTCATGAAACAGCTGTTTCACGCAGCAAACTGGATCACAAGGACTCTGCTCTGTCATTAGGCCTATGAAAGGAATTAACTTAGAGCATGTGCTCTCTGCAGCCACTCCGATGAAAACGGAACCCAAACAGGAATTTTGCTTTGCTCTGGTGGGAGATTTGTTGTAGATACACATTTTTTTTCCAGTGCTTGCAGCTTGCACATCACCACCTGTGACATGAGCACGTTAACTAATGGCACACATACTCTGGCTCGCTCTGATGGGGAGGTAAATGAGTTTTACTTTGTAGTTGAGGTAACTGGGACCTAGTTACTGTGAGCTAAGGAGACAGAGCACTGTAGGAACTGCTAACACAACTGCAGAGCACATTCCTGCAGCACACAGGCATATACAGTTTGGTATTGGTAAAAAACAGAAGTCATCATTTCTACATGGCACTGGATGAAACAAATAGTTTTCCACTATCAGTTAAACTTTTACTGTTATGATGTCCTCCTTCCTTTCCTCCCCTGCCTCCACCTGACTTGACTTTTCTTGGGTGCCACCGAAACTTGTGAGCTTTCTGAGTGGGCACAATGTGGAGAACACGTCACATACCATGATGAGAAATCCCGATCCTTGACTGGCATTTCCAGGAGGCCAGAACAG